GTGGGCGAGAAGAGAAGAAGGAAAAACCAGTTGGTGTAATGAAAAAAGATAGAGGCAGGGAAAAAGCGAAGAAGGAAGATAAAGAAGCTTCTAAGGAAACAGAGTGGTAGGTGATGGAAATCTGAAGTATTTAAATCCTTACAGGTTTTTAGAGTCTAATGTTCTAACAGCTTTTTGGTCTGGCAGTTTCTGGGCTAAGTGGTTTGAATTCTTTTTAGTGATGGATCTTCCTCAACAGGTATGAGGTCAGAATCTGCTACAGCGAGCAAAAGAACTGAAGATGGAAAAGAAGTTTCAGGTTTGCTTGATATAGCAGGTGTTTAAAAAGAATATAATAGTGTGTTGTATCACTTAACTGTTTTTGTCATTCACTTGACAAAGATTGCTAGAACTTTGACTTTTGAATGGCAGTCCTTTTTCCTTTAATTGAATTAAACTGGTGTATTTTAAAAGCAATATCGACAAAATGAAAACTTTAGATGATAGTGAAGATGGTCCTGTTGATGAAGAAAGGTCAGTTGGTAGGAAGAGAAAGACACCAAAAGTTGATACGTCTAAATGGTATTATTGGGCTTTTTTGCTAATTTATTTTAGTTTTTTGTAGCTTCGGTTGCTTTATTATACTCCTTAGATTAGCAGTAGTTTTTTTCAGCTTTTTGCCTGATTTAAATTTTCAGTGACCATGATGACTACGGAGGTGGTTCTGAGCTAGATAATGCAAAAAGGCAGTATAAACAGACTGCAGCTTTGAAGAGGATGTACAGGAAAAAGGTTGTGTTGTTGCGTTTTTATTTTTTATAGTTTGTATCTGATTTTGGTCATTTAATTTACTTTTGATCTAAAGAGTTTGGTTTACCCAATATACTTTTCAGATCCATTCTGAAAGTGATGCCACTGACGATCACTCGGAACGTCGTAAACATTTTTCATCTTCAATAGTCTCTAGTGCTCCCTCAACTTCAACTGCGGCTGATGGACTAGGTTCTCTCAGCGGCAGCGATGAAGAAGGTAAGGTTTTTTTGTTGATTATTATCATTATTAGGTTTAGCTCTGCTTTGTAAAGTAATTATTATGCTTAGTAAACTGGCAAAATGGAGCTTTGTGTTCAAAAAACGTAGCGGGAGTGGCCATAGTTCAATGCTACTTCTTAAATTTTTTGAAATGGAGTAGTGCAACGCTTTTTTATCAACTAAGTAGGTCTTAAATTTGTCATTGGGTTGCTAAAGGTATTTCTCGGAACGGGTAGATAGCTGGGTTTTTATTTTATTTAGCTTTTTGTAAATTCCTTTTTGAATTTCAGAACTGAACACTTGATATTGCTGGAGTGGTTTGTTGTGAGATTTTAATAAATATATTTTTTAATTTGCAATAAGGAGCTACAAATTCGTATTGCAAGAATTATTTTTTCTAGTTTCTAACTTGCTGGAATAACTTTAATGTGGCACAATAAAGCATTTGGCTTTTTTTAGTCGTTCCTGTCGTTCGCCGTAAGGGGAGGAAAAGAAAAGGTTCATTTCGTGAAGCAAGTGGTGTGTCAACCACATCTTGCAGTAGCGACCACACTGTTGAATCTGCAGGGACTGTGCGAGGTAGTGATATGAGATTGAAAAAGAGGAAGAAAGACAAAGTTGGTGAACGGACCGTTCGAGCTACCGCGTTAGTTTTAGAATTTTTGTTTCAAATGTTTCCTATGAATGAAGGCACTAACAAATGATAAAAAGTTTTGAGTTTTTTTGTTCAGGAGGTGGCTTTGAGTGGTTCATGTCTGAAAAGTAATTTTATTACTGTTGCACGTTATCATTGTCTGTTTTTTTGAACATCTATATTATTTATAATTGAATTTCTTTCTGACACTACGTGTCTGCTCATTTAACGTTAATAATTACTACTTGGGTTATAAAGTTATTGTTTATTGTTTACAGGTTTACTCGGTTTTATCAAGGTCAGAGTGTTCGGGCTCATCATCTTACGAAATGGTATGATGCTCGAGTTCAAATTGTTGAACAACCTTCTGTGGAAGAATTTGTGGATGTTTTTTCAGAATTTGAGAAAAGGTTGGCTACAAGATTGAAATTTTAGGCAGTTTATTGTTTTTCAAATATTAGCACGTTTAGTTTTTTTTTAGTGAATTACCGGTACTTTTTTTTTCCAAAAATTTGAAATTTTTTCTAGCGTTTAAAATTTCTGTTCTCAATTACCATTTAAATTTCTTTGTTAAGAAGATGAGCTATAAGGAAAGTCGGCAATAAAGTTTTTAAGGTTGAAAGTTGGAACCGAGGGCTCTTCACAAGCTTCTGATAAGAAACACGGCAATCAAAAAGAAACTTTGTTATATAAATGGTTGTATGGTCGTCTTGAAGAGCTTCAGAAAAAAATGCGATGTTTTGTGCATTATGTAGGATGGAACAATCGATATGATAGTTGGACTATGTCTTGTGACGTAAAGGTTACTGAGAAGGTTCGTTATTTTTAATTTTATTAGGAAACGTGATATATCGGGTTTTCTATTCGCTACAAAATTGTTTAGGATCAGAAGAAATCGGAAGAGGTTTTTCGTTCGTTGGCACAGGAAAAGATCAATGCTGATATTCTAGAGAAGGCTTTAGTATGGCGGCCAAGTGCTGCTGGTTCTGAAGTGACAACAAATGGTTTGAATTCGGATGAAGTATGTGAGGCCAAGGAGGCAAGGTGTAGAATTTGAAGTTTTTAAATTTAGAATGTGTCATTTTTGTAATTGAATCAATTTCTCTTGATTTATCAGCTTTACAGCGCTATATCTTTACGATTTCAGCTCTTCCCAGTCCCGTCGTGAATCTTCTACCTCAGAACTCCCGAATCGTCAAGGAATTTCAGGTCGCTCGGCATCGGGCAGTGAACAACAGAATCAAAAAGTACGTTTTTCTTTGATGTATACGGCCGGTAACTGGGCTTGAGTCCTTCTTTCTTTAGCTTTTTTCATCTTTTCAGCATCAGTCACCTGATAGCGCTTCGGGGAAAGATATTGTCCCGTCTTCGACTTCCTGTGAAAGCAAACCTAGTAAGCGGCAATCAAGATCAAACTCGTCGAATACTGGAAAACATTTAGAAAAATTTGCTGCTTCTAATTTAGCTGGCGAGTGTATACCTGAAACTTCTGGAGTTTCTCAAGATGAGGTGTTATTTCAAGTTTTTTAGAGGTTACTGTTCCACTCAGTCGTATGGTTTTCAAAGGCACCTAATTTAGAACTGTTGCCAGGAAGTCAAGGAAGAATCTGCGCAGAGCGAATCGGTCATAGAAGTGAAGTCCCTGTGTCTTAATGCGCCAAAGAATGCGAATTTGGACGTCCCAACTACCTTGAATAGATTGACTGATGATTCTCCTCCCAATACTGGAGACAAGAAGGAAATCACAGTAAGAGAAAGCTCAGGGGCAACTTCTGTGGAAAGGCAAAGCAAGAATGATGAGTTGAAGACCGCTAAAGGGGATTCGGTCAAGGTAAGTGTTTCAAAATTACGGCCATATATCAGCTTTTTTATCTATTCTGCTCTTTTATTTTTATGCAGAGCGGGTTGGATGGGAATAAATCGTTTTTTTTTATTTTTTTTTGTGTGTGTGTGTGTGTGTTTTTGTTTTCCTGATGCTAGTTTTGAAAATTTAATTTTTCTTTGTTAAAATTGCTACTTTATGTGGAAGTTATAAATGTTCGGTACGTAAGTAAACATTTTTCAGAAACGAGCTGATCAGAATATTAGTATAAGAAAAAAGAAACTAGTTCCTGAGAGTAAGGCGGTCACTGAAAACGTCAGTTGCGAGTTCAGTTTGAGTAAAGACTGCACTTCAAGCTCAGTCGATTTAGACGGTACGATTCATTGTTTATTTTTTCACATTATTCAGTAATTATAATCTTTCGTGAGGTTTGTACTTTTTGCATGCTTGATGTTTTCAGACCCTGATCATGCCATTATCGAAGTGCCGCTGAAGTCTCATGAAACTATATCACTTTCCACTCGCATTCCGAAAGTAAAGAAGAGTAATCAGGGTTCTGACGAGGTCAAAGTGGAATCGACTTCTAAAATTGTTAGTTTTGATTAGTTCAGAAGAATTATTCAACGTTTTTTGCTTGCGCTTTTGTACATGATTGCAATTTTCTTAATTCATTGGTTATAAATTTTTGCAGCTAGAAGGAGAAGAAAATGTGGAGGACGAAGTAGTGAAGGTCAAGGAGGAGGTTGAGAAAGACGATTCTTCAGCTTACGACAAATTGAAGGCAAATTCTGAGCTTTCTGAAGTTGAAAACCGCGATGATCTTGAAACCTCCACTTCATGTTAGTAGCCTTGATTTTCACGAGGACTGATCTAACGTTTTTTTTTTCAAAACAACTATTTTATTTCTTCTAGCTCCGTCTGAAGTACAGGCCAAACTGGAGGTAAATTCGCCGAATATGGCAAGTGAGTTTGAATCTCTTGTTGGTGACGCAACAGAACCAAACGATGATGGTACGGCTTTTTATTTTGTATTTAATTTTATAACTTATTCTGTCATCAAGTCTTCTTCCATTAAAACATGTTTTTTATAATTGGCTTTAAAAATGTTGCTTGAGTGGTTTCACTCTTTTAGATTGCGCAAGTCCCAAGGATAGCTTTCATGCTTTGAAGGTTCGTATGTTACAAAAGATGGAGGCAGATATGGTGCTTGAGAGGGCAGAAAAAGAACTCGGTTTGGGACCCATAGGTACTTTTTAAACTTATTGCTTTCGAATTTTATTCGTCGTTACATTTTGGAAATTTACTTGGTTTTTCTGGGGTCCATGTTCATTTTCCTGTATCTGAAGAGTGATTGTCGTATTTCGTCATCGCTTTACATCGCTTTAACAGTCTACTGTCTTTCCAGACGAGAAGTTGGCGGGAGATGCTCTCATTTACTCTCTTCAAACTCGAATTCAGGAGCTGAAGGATCTTTACCACTTAGTTAGGGCTGAACAGGCTCACCTTGATAGACGATGGCGCAAAACATATGAGAAGAGGAGTTAGTTTTTAGTTATAATTTACTTGGCTTAAGTGCTGAAGTGAATTTCAGATAATATTTTATCATGAGTTTGTTGGAGTGCTAGTAAACAGTCCGATTTTTAGAACAGCGTGAAAAGGAACAAAGGAGGAAAGAAGAACTAGTACACCATCCATGTGATCAGTAGTTGTGTGAAATAATTAATTCGATTCTTAGTAAAGACAGCTTTTAGGAAATATCTTTTTAACTTCCTTATTTATGATTGCGAAGTTTGTGTTATGCATTCTTTTGATATAGCTAGGCAAGTGTGGTATGGTGGAACTTTAAAACCACTTTCCTTTTATCACTCCTCTATTATGCATTTAATTTTTTTAAATTAATTCTTCGGCTTTTTATGATAAGTCTTAAATAGCATCACTTTTTGCCTAGCCATTTTCTCTTCAATACGCGGTGTTTGTGAATAGCAGTTAATTCTGATATTATCAATCCCAACAAGTGTTAGTTCTGTTAGTTTTCTAATTTGTATTTCATCTGGCTTGCCAGGGTTTATTTGTTGTATCAGTCTTTCTTGAAGTTTTTATTGTAATAAGGCTAGTGATTTTTAAGTTTGATAGGAGGCTTAAACTAAGGAAATTAATATTTTTACTTGAGGTTCTGGAAAGTTCCATGCCTTCTAGTTGTTCACAGTCTTTTGGTAATGCATTTAGGGAGCATTTGCTTGTACACTGCGATGGGATTGCATTTGAAGAAGTTTCTAGAAGCAGTGAATGTTGAAAACGGCAGATGAGAAGGTCTCAGTCTGAACTTTCTGCTTAGAATGCGCGTTCCAAAAATAATTGAGATGGTCTGATGACGAAAAATTTGTTAGGTTTCGCTGTTTTGAGATATTTGGCTGAAGAACGGTCAACGTTCGGTAGGATATTGACTCGTTTGGGCCCATTTGGAAGTCTTGGGAGAGCGAGCTCTGTGATTGAAATTTGTTTTTTGGTGCTGCACCGATTAAAACGGTTCCAGCTGTCTTAGAAATGTTAACTGACAATAATAGATTGAAATGGCGTATTTCGGGCAAAAGTAATGGTGGGATATACAGATACTAGGTGAAGCAAGGGTGGCCGATGCCTAAGTGTTTGTGGACATCGCTGGTCATGAAAAGAATAATTTATTAAGGATAAATGCGTTGGAGTCGTACGGCACAGATTGGAGGACGAAGTCGTGTAGTTGCTTTTCCCAGTCACGAAACCTTACATTTATAGTCTATTTTATCAAAAAAATAAAAGCATTTCTGCTGTGCCTTCATAGGTTTTTTTGTAGTAAGTCAGTGAAAAAAAAAAAGAAAAGAAAGCTTTGGAAGCAAATTCTTTTGCAGATCTGAAGTTGTCGTTTATACGGCTTACGCAGAGGAGTGACTGGATTGGTATTGGAGCTGGGGTAGTAGGAATTTTAGTAGTAAAATTGTTTGAAAGATTTGAATGAGTGGAATGGAGGTTGAAAAGAAGTGGAAGAAGCAGGGAATTAGTGGAAAAAATAAAGGTTTTCTATGGCTATGCAGTTTGTGAGAGC